CTAAGTGGGGAAGCGACACCAACTGGTGGGCACTAACTAGCGCCGCGCTAAAGCCACCGCTCCCCCTGACCTCGAGCGTCCGCAGCGAAAATCTGTTAGTCTGCTAATGCAGATGTAGTACAGCCCGTTTCTTCGTTGAGAGTTAGGTGACAGTTCATCCGGCACATTAATGAGGTGACCAGTCACACAACACCATACAACTGTCAATGACGTTTCAAAAATTGCCACTAGCGGGTACTATGACGTAATGAGACGTCATCTATCTCTCAACAAGTAACAGTCTGGACCGCGTACCTCGGCTACATCAGCGCGGCATAGTGAAACAACTCATAAATGATAAAGATCATACCGCTCATCAATTCTGGATTCTTCTGGTTGAGATTCAATGCATCTAATCCACTAGCTATCTGATTTGAAGCCGCTTGGCCTACCAATCTGAAAACAAACATAAGATAATAATAAGAAATTGAAACGTTTACAAACACCCAAACATTTCCCTACTAACCCTTCTCTAGGATCCCTGGAATACATGTACGGAGGCACGACAGGCGGAGGTCCTTGTGCTCCTTTTTGCATGGCCGCTGGAGGAAATCCTACAGGCTGACCCTCGCCTGCGACACGTCGACTTCTGAAGTGATAATTCAACTCAAAACTATTATTTAGCTTGAGGCTAAGGTACATGTAAAAGTACACGGACACTTCAATGCACAGTTCCACTCCCAAGGGGAGAAAAGTAGCTGGGTCCAACATCTTTAGGGTTTCCCGCTGGAAGCGGCGCTGCGCAAATGCGAAGATTTTGTGATTTTGTTAACTTACTTTGTAATCACGATGAAACAAAAGATGAAATGCGAACGCTTCGAGTAGTAAGATTGAGTTCTGCTGATTTCCATGCAATTTTCCGGTAAACTACGAGAGACCACTCAAAAGAATACACTAGGAAAACTTCGAAGTACTCCTATACCTTTTTCGTATATGGTGATACACAGGAAAAGTGCTTAATCAGGCTCCACGCCCTGGGAGACTCCCACGCTGCATGAGCGGTGAAACAGGTTTTTTGTGATGAAAAAGTTTCATGAATACGATAGTGAACTAAATTTAAAAAAATAATTCGAATAATACCGTGATTGATCAAGTGGCGCACGGCTCGAACGTGGGGTACCTTGGGCAGCCGGTGGTGCTGCCCATAATTCATATGGCGATCGAGGGAATGCACCGGCATGACTGTAGCGAAACATTTCCTAAACACTACAGATCAGCAACTGAAGACTTTAAGCAGTTTCACTTTGCTTTAAAGACACACGGTACGCTCAATACATTCAGGGTGTGTGAGACTATCAGCCCCCCAGCTGTCGAGTTGTCGTGGTCCCCCCGCCCAAAACTGCACGGGTCAGATACGAGACTGTGGGAAAGTTGTAACTCCTTGCTACGCACTTTTGCTCACGTTTTTACTAACACCGTTCGCGCGGCGCGGTTGCGTGCAGCTCTCTTGGCTTTTTGGCAAGTCCTGTGCGCTTTGGAATACAAGTACAACGCAATTTCTTTAGACCGCATGAACTATTCTGGTTCTGCGCAAAATAAGAATTGAAGATGATGACGAGGGCTAGAACTCAAGGCTTCTGCAACAGCCTTCGCAGGCCGCGCATTCCCTCAAAACATCAAAATGAAACGGCCTAAGCGTCCCCTCGTTAGTTTGAAGTATTTCTATAGCATTAGAGCCGGATCGCAGAAATGCACACGCGATTTTAATTTAGTGCGTTTCCTTAGTTTTTTCAATTTTTTTGTTTATTTACCATCTACTATTCGTTTGTGTTCATTTCTAAGCCTTGTCATGTTCATCACTTCTATTCGGACTTTGAAGCATGAGCAATACCTCAAATGTTAGGAAATTGCGTTTTGCTTGTATTGTCATGTTTTATTGTCATGTTGTCCGTTTTTATTGTCATGTTCTGTGGGAATGCGCGGCCTCTGAGGGATATTGCAGAAGCACCACAGTTGCTCTTGAGTTCTAGCCCTCGTCATCATCTTCGGTTCTTATTTTGCAGCACCTAAAATGTTATCCGCATAAAGAAATTGCGTTGTACTTGTATTCCAAAGCGCAATTACAGGACTTGGCAAAAAGCCAAGAGAGCTGCACGCGACCGCGCCGCGCGGACGGTGTTAGTAAAAACGTGAGTTTGCAAAAACGGGCGGCGTAGCAAGGAATTACGACTTTCCCACGGCCCCGTACTCTGACCCCGTGCAGTTTTGGGCGGGGGGACCACGACACATCGACAGCTGGGGGGCTGATAGTCTCATACACCCTCAATGTTTCTGAGCGTACCATGTGTCTTTAAATGCATAATGACTTCATGAAGACACGTCCATCCCCCTTTTGCAGCGCAAAAACCGTTCTTGGACAGGACAGTCCTGTCCGCAAGTGCAGAGGACCTATCGTTTTTGCGTACAGAAACAAGTGCTAAGGACGCCACCTAGTTGTGACAAAGGCAGTGCCACGCCCATTATTCGATACCAATCTAACGTTCATTTTTAGCGACTTATTGATGTTTCTATTTCCCTACTAGCTTCCATTCAGATTGGTGAGAGTGAGGCGATAAGGGAAAACAGCAGATATCGGCAGCAAAAGAAAGCTCGTGCAAGCACACCCTCCATTGGCCATACTCATGTGAGCGCAGTTCGGCAAAGAGTCCTCTATGGACATTTTGATCAGCTTTTTTTCAGAATCGATGGTTCCCTGAGCTTCATTTGTTTAATCTTGCTGTAGTGAGTAGAACGGCGAAGCTCTTCTTTCATTGAATCTTTATTACATGACAACGTTTCGGGCATAAGCCCTTCTTCAGGTCACTCGCCTTAAATCACAGCATATGGACATTTTGAACAGTTTTTTTCTGAATAGATAGTTCCCTGAGCTGCACTGTGTTTAATCCTGTTGCGGCGGGATGTGAGGAGTGGGACAGTCATCGATGGCGACCTCATGGATGATGATGTACAGGCAATGTTGAACCTTGGTCCGAACTTTTGCCCCAAACCGAAATTTTCGAAGAAGTTGGAAGATGACATCATCACGGCAGTACATAAATTTTGGTACAGTCAAAGCTGGAAATGTCAAATTGGATCCACTGTCCCAACCCTTCAGGAAACCCTCCGCAGAGAAATGCCGTTCCCTCGGAAGTATGTCCACACACCACAACAAAATCCTGAATTCACTTCCAGAGTGACCGCACTAAAACAGGACCTCCTTCGAGTGTACCGTGATCATCGAAATCGGCGAACTCCAGACAACATGACAGATATGGAGCGAGCAGGTCTTATGAAAGCCATCGATCTGAAGAGGTCACTACGCTTCTCGGTAGGAGATAAGTGCGGAGGTTTTGTTGTGATGTCGCGAGAACGAGATATTACTCTGAGTGAAGGTGTACTGTCGGATGTCACTACTTATGAGGTGGCTTCCATAGAACAGTACAAACGAGAATGTCAGAACCTTGAGGAGGTGATAAGAAGAATCCTCGGTCCGAAGCTGGAGAAGTGTACAGTGGATCAATTGCTGCCGAAGTATGCAAGCGTACCAACTTATTATCAGCTTGTGAAAACGCATAAGTTGGTTAGGAGTGAGAATGGCGATGTGATGGACCTCAGCTCCATCAAAACAAGGCCAATTGTAGCATCCTGTGGCGGTCCAACGGACAGAATAAGCTGCAGCGCATCCTCTGTCCACTGCTTTCATATGTTCACCATCACCTCAAGAACGTGAAGCAATTCCTGGAGCAGTTACGGCAGTGCAACTTCTACGATAAACCACGATTGGAATACGAAAGTTTTGATGTTATTGCAC